ATTTTTATATGCAATCAATATCGGCCTATTCATGCCAACAAAAATACTTGCAGATAATTGTTAAAATATTGGTTGCACACCGATAAACCCAGTTTTAATGTATCTGATTATGATTATCAAGTTATCAAGACACTACTAACCCATTATGACAGACTAATAATAATAAAAACATAGTCATTTAAATATATTATTTAATATATTATTACACACTGCCCGGACAAAAATTTTAAAAATTTAAATAGGCAAATGCTTATCATTATTTCAGTGATTCTAGCATGTTATATGTTTGGCAACAGTTCTTCTAACCCTAATTGATGGAGTGTAGCTTTTCATTTCTTAAACAATCATGTTGGAAACATTGATGCACCTCTTGATGTTAATAGCGAGAGGTGCATTCATTTTTGGTATTGTCAATGCAAGAGTCCAGCACTCTGTAAAGTCTCCTCCAGCACATCCCAAAGACTCTCAATAAATCTCAATGGACTGAGAGGAGACGATTCATGTGTGAAAATGATTCTTCATGATCCTCACAACCATTCTTTCACAATTTGAGCCTGATGAATCTTGACATTATCATCCTGGAATATGGCCATGATGTGTCTCACACATGGTTGTTTAAGAAATGAAGAGCTACACGCTCCATCAATTAGGGTTAGAAGAACTGTTGCCAAACATATAACATGCTAACATAATAATCACGGATATAATGATCCAGTCATTGACACATTCACCTTTTAAAACCAAACAGATATTTTTTTTGGTCGGGCAGTGTAACACTTGAATAAATAATGGATAAAACATTTGATGAAAATAAAACCCCAAATATTATATGCATTCAAAAAGGTTGAACACAATAAATGTATATTTTGAAGTCATCGGCTTAGGATTTAACATGCCTTTTTTGAATTCTTCCAGCATTGCATCCAGCTTGGTGTCATTAAAAACATAATGCAGAGGATGGTTGTAGAACTTTGTGATGGTGGTCATGGGAGTGCGGTCCTCTGGATCAACCAACGCCAAGTCTTTCACGTAGAGGATCTCGATGATATTGGACCTCTCCTCTTCGTACACAGGGACGCGAGTGTATCCGCTCTGCATGATCTCAGACATGGTGTTGAAGTCCAGAACGGCCGTGGAAGGCAGCATGAAGCAATCTTTCAGAGGGGTCAAGATATCCTCCACGGTTTTGGTCCTGAGAGCGCCCTTACTGAACTCCACCTTGACAAACTCATTATACGGATCGTTCACGCTAGTCCGAATCATTTCCATGGTTTTCTCGCGGATGCCGCAGGTGCTCACGTCCCGGTGGAGGATCAAGTCCAGCAGGAGTCCGAGAGGACAGGAAAGCGGACACGTCAGAATGAGACAGATCTGGGCCAGCCATATCAAACCCGGTGCCATCTGGAACCCATAGCCCGAACATACAATGTGAGGAACCAACTCGGCCAGGAGGAATATGAGGAAGCCGCTGGTGAACACAGCGGGGAGGATGGACCCATAGAGGCGGTACAACAGAACACCGAGCACAGAGTGACCCAAAGCACAAATGAACAGGAGAGAGCACACCAAAACGTTTCCTCTCCTCCGGATGGGCTTGAGGCGCTTGGCCGCCCGCTTCTCATCCTCTGAACCGCAGCTGTGCAGAACGTACAGCTCCAGTGGGTCCAGCCACAGCAAACTCAGATTCAAGCACCTGACCACACAGCAAATTAAAACCAGAAGCACAAGCACCAAAACCAAACCCCATAACGGAATGAAATCAGATGGTACACCCGGGTCCTTAATGAGAAACTTGTCCGACCCGAATGACCCCCACGTCTGGCCCTTTAAGACGCAGATGTGATGGAAAACAGGCTCTGCATCTTTATTCTGCGTCTCGGATGTTGCAAGCTCGGCACGGACTTCTATAAGCCTGCTGTTTTCCTCACGTTCCTCAACCAAGCCGCGCACCTGGAACGAAGCGGACCTGCGACACTTCTCCGTCGCGCACGGGTCAGCCAAACAGTCTCCAGGCGCGGCGAACGCGACCCACGGCCACGTCTCATTGGACAGGTAGGACCCAAACAACCTGAGCGTGAAATTGGTCCCGTTTGGAGCTACGATGACCCCTTCGTGCCGGTACACCAGCTCGCTGGGGTCCTCCAGGCGTAGCCCGAAAACCTGCACTTCTTGAAGACTGCAGGCTCCGAACCCGCACAGGAACGATATGATCAACGGGAGACGCAGCTCCGCCAAGCTGACCACCATATTGGAACAGGACAGCCTGGCTTTATGAATCATGTGACGCTGCTGATGTTGTTGCTGCTACCCTCCTACTTTTTCACTTGTTTTCATATAAAACGGTGTGGGAAACTGGCTAGGTCCGGCCGCCATGTTGGCTCAGAGATTCTTAAGAAACAGGCACAGACGTGGCCCCCGACTCTGGAGCCACAATGAACACAGTTTCTTTTTCGAACGGACGCTACGTCGTGTCAATGATGGACCAATGGCAGAACGGCAAGTTCGCGCTTGACCAATCGGAGAACGGGAAGGCATGGTAAACCACGCCTACAACGGCACTGAGTGAGGAGCGTCAGCCTGTGAGATTAGCATCCTCTCAAGGCTTTTGCAAAAATAAATAAACGCCTTTATCTGGTTGTGGAGTCGAAAACAGAGAGGGTTTATTTAAACATTTACAGGTTTTAAACTATTCTAGCAAACAGTAACAACGTTTATGAGGTAAAAACTGACCGCAATGTTTTACAGCTCGCAAACTGTTTTCACAACTGGAATAAATGCACTGCACAGACAGACAGACTGAGCAAAAGAGGTGTTTATTAGAGAAATATCTCTTAGATATATGTCATCAGAATTCAAACAGAAATACAAAATACTATTTACACATTGCTTTAAATACGATTGTGTTCGTGGGAGGTACAGTACATTTGCGTTTTGCATTTCCCTTTAAAGAGGAGCGACTTGAGGATAGGAAAAAGCATGGGGAAATCATTGTTAGTTTTTTTTTAAAATAAATATGAACAAAAACTCATACCTCATTCATTTTCATTAGTTCACTTGTGTAATGGAAGACAAGAGTGTTCTCACACTTTAGTGAACCCAAAACAAAGTGTGCTTAGTATGCAATACAACACCTTGAACTGTTTGAAAGGTCAATATAGGTCATGACCCCGGAAAGTAAATAAATGCAGAGTTAAAAATGCAACCATGCATCCTGAAAACTCACATTTGTAATCTTTAACATTCACCGTGGTCTAATGATCAAACAAGGGGAATCTGCACAGCATCTCTACCGTACAGTTTCTGCGGTGAACATTAAAAGCAGATTACGGAGCTGGGATGGAAATCTCAGCAGCACGCTCACAGGAATTTCATTAGTTTCAAGCAGCAACAGCATCCCCACCCCCTCAAAACAGAGTCCCTGTGCAATAAGAGAGGAACATGAGAATCAAACAGACAAATCAAAGTGCAAAAGGCTTTGGCCAGTGTGTTCACTCACAAATTTAATTCCATGTGTTGCAACTTTGGTTATAATACAACATCATACGGCGCAGAACAGAGCTCGCGGTGCCCACGTTTTGGTTTCAGTTGAAGTATATACTAGTCAAATATCATAATACAAGAATGTCTGTTGAGGTAAAATTAGTGCTATCAAATCGATTAATCGTGATTAATCGCATCTAACGTAAACGTTTTTGTTTATATAATATATCTGTATATATGTGTGCGTGTGTGTACAGTATCGGTCAGGTTTGGAAACATTATATAAACAAAAAGTTTTTATGTTGTTGCGATTAATCGCGATTAATCGATTTGACAGCACTACGTAAAATGCAACTTATTTCTTATCTCAAGTGTGCAATTGTACATTAAACATTGTAAAAAAAGAAACAAAGACCTATTTATTGCTTTAGATTTAAATCTCTTGTAAAGGCAACAAACCATTTATAAATAATAATATTATTATAGTAATCATCATACACAAGTCGGACAAAGTCAATTTCATACTCTTCAATGAGTAAAACAATTAGAACAACAATCCAATGCTATTCTTCAGAGTAATTCGTCCTAATACTTTTTACTCAGCAACTCACTGGGATATTCATACAATTTATGAAATAAAAGAACACTTTAACGTCGAAACCTTTATGCATGCACTGCATAGCGTACTTACAGCATGCCATGAATACAACAGTTTCTAATGTCAGCTCAGCATGAGAGCAACACAATGGAAATATCACTGTGTGATCTCTGAAACGTGATCTCAGGACAGAACTGGCTTTATGGTCATTGCTAAAAGATCTAGAAAATCTCAATATAGTGCAAGGAAACAGGCTTTAGTTTGTTAAATGCTCACTTTGAACTCTAGAGGCTTATAACAAACCAAACCGTACCGTACTAGTGACTTCAGGAAGAGATACTGAAGATTTGTAGTGTACAAACAAGCATGAGAATGAATGTATGGTTTCACTTCAGTTCACAGTGAATTCTGTTTAAAAGGAATACCTCACTTTTTTTTGGAAATAGGCTCATTTCCCACTCCCCCAGAGTTAAACAGTTGGGTTTTACTGTTTTCGAATGTATTACCCGTTTTTTTTTATATATATTTAGAGGAATATCAGTAACCAGACAGTTTCTGGTCTCATTGACTTCCATAGTATATTTTCCTACCATGGAAGTCAATGAGACCAGAAACTGTCTGGTCACTGATATTCTTCTAAATATCAGAAAATTGGCTGAATGGATTTGAAAACGGTAAAACTCAACTGTTTAACTCTGGGGGAGTGGTAAAATGAGCCTATTTCCAAAAAAAAGTGGAGTATTCCTTTAAGCATCTCTCTATGCGAGGACAGGAATGTTGGTGGAAACAGCATTTGATTTGTTTGAAGGAAAGTAGCACGAGATAAAAAGTTGGTTCAAGAACCAAGAACGATAACTATATTAGATACCAGGATGGATTCTGATTGGCTGTCAGCGGGGGAAAATTGTTTTGAAAGCGATTCAGAAAATATTGTTTTTCTGTGCCGTTATTGTTGTGGTGTGGACTTTTTAGAACCATCGTTATCGTTACACATTATCGTTATCGTTATAGTTATTGTTATAAATCTCACAAAATTTCAGATCATATTTCACCCCAAAATGAAAATGAAAAAAGACCATGAAGATTTTTTGCATTCTGATATTTCTTAGTGTTTTCATTACTGTGAAGTGAAAAAAATGAAATTGCATTAACTGTACTGACTTACATTTGTAGTACAGAAATACGACTCTAACGAGAATCATTGAGAGGGAGAATTACAAAACCTTATGGAAAAAGTACATTAATTTGTTAATAAAATTTGCGTAACTGTCGTTAAAATAACGCATAACATCATGCAAAAAATCTTAATGGTATATATAGGCTTTATTTAGTCGAATAAATGTGGTTGTTGTGAAATATAACTCAGGGGTTAAAGATTACAAAATATTGATGAAATATACATAATTTAGAAAAAAAAATACATTAATCTTTAAATATATATAATGCATCATAATTTGAATTTCATAATCACAGGTCTAGGTTTTGCAGTGGTAAAAGTTCAATGTTTTTTTTGCTATAAATGTCACCATGTGGGGTTCTCTGAACCACATCTGTGTCAGCAAATTTCACATCTTCAAACTATATTTACAAAGTCTTCCTTAACGTTTGTCACGTACTGCTACAATTTCATTACGGCTACATCACGTAGCCACTCTTAACCCTGGCAAATAACCGAATAAACTAGACCGGTCTCTCTGAAAGGTTAGCCTAGTTGTACACAAACAGTCCAATAATAGCTTATGAGACTCAAAGTGCTCTTATGCTCATAATCTCAGAAAACTACAGCACACAAATGTATGCTGCTGGGTCAGAGACGTCATAAGAAGTGCATATCGTACGATAACTTCGTTATATACTGACGAAATATTGTATAATGCCTATAAACGGGCATATTTGTAGCAATAACATAGTGTCTACGTGATTACATGTCTACGTGATTAGCATGCAACACAGGTCATAAGTCACTTGTCATAAAGACTTCAACGTCGGACTGAACCCGCAGCCCCTAAAATCACAGTGAGATCACGTCCAACCATTGAAGACGACGCACTATTTTTTTTGGAGTTCTATAACACACCTTTGGCCTCTCGAAATGAGAGATCAGGCCCTAGATGTAGTGTATTTTGTAGCAGGTGTAAATGTGCTTTCGTTCGACTCTGGAGCTCCGCTAGGGCCCCAGATTAGCGTCGTCAAATGGTGCTTTCGGTGTGGGCGTGCGTGAACATGTGCACGTGATGCGCGTGAGGGTTGGGGAAAGGCGTCGGGCTGCTGTTGCCGTGGGGATGAGGGGCGGGGCTGCTGTTGCCGTGGGGATGAGGGGCGGGGCTGGAGTTGGAGTTGACGTTGGTGTTCAGGTGCGACTGGTTTTGAGGGTGGGCGTGGCTCGGCTGGCGTTTGGACAGGCTGTTCTTGTCGTTGAGCAGCGAGGTGGTCTCATCCGGTCCGTTCTCTCTGGGAGCCGCCAGCGCTGTGGCGTGGTTCACGCTGGCGGTAAAGGTAGGGGGCGGGAGAGGGCCGGTATCCAGACGCGTATGGCTGCTTTCAGGGGACTGAGGAGTGCTGTCCAGCTTTGAAGCCAGGAAGCCGTTTTGGTACTGAGAACGAGTGACCTGAAAAAGACAAAATTAAAAAACGGATCAAAAAGGTATTCGTACTTTTATTCAGCAAGGTTGCATGACATTGATCATAACTGACAATAAAGACATTTATAATGTTACAAAAGATTCTGCTTCAAATGATTTATGCTCTTTTGAAGGTCCTGAAAAAAGAATGCATCATGGTTTCCACTAAGGATGGGCAACGATTAATCGCATCCAAAATAAAAGTTTGTGTTTACATAATATATGTGTGTGTAGTGTGTATAATTAATTTGTATATATAAATACCCACACATGCATGTATATATTATATATATATTTATTCACAATTAATATTATATATAAATATAAATATTTGATATATTAATAACACATTTTTCTTAAATATATACATGCATGTGTTAGTATTTATATATACAAATTAATTATACACACTACACACACATATATTATGTAAACCCAAATTTTTATTTTGGATGTGATCAATCGTGATTAATCATTGCACATCCCTAGTTTCCACAAAAATACCAAGCAGTACAACTGCAACATTCATCATAATAATAATTGCACAATCATTTCACATTATGGCTCACATGGTCACGAATACAAGCATGAGCGAGATTTGACTAGTTTTCAGTGATTGACGCAATGTGATGAACTAGAACGCTTCATAATCAGTGATGTCACCCACACTGCAAATCAAGCTCCAAAAGTTTATTGATAAGTAGATATATATATATATATTATATATATATGAAGAGCTCTTTTCCAAACCGCGATAAACGTCATTTAAAAAAAAAATGAGTTTGTCGTGTCATTCTGCTGTGGACAGAACCCTTTCACTGCTCCATCAACGTTTCATGCCAAATCGGTATATTTCCTTGTTTAAAATGTACTGCAAGATACAGTTTCTTTCCAAAACGCAATAAGCGCCAGCCCTGTTTTTAGGCTAAATGCGATAAATCATCATTCAATGAGCGCTCTACGCAATCCAGCACAGCGGCACTCTGAACAGAGGTTTATTATGTTCATTCATTCCTCAAAATGAGTCCTAGTAGTCGACTAGTAGTAGATCATTTAAGCCATTTGTATTATCAGTAATCACATATATTGATTTAATTAAATGGGAGAGAAACCATATGAGCGTTTTTAATTGCCTATTCCGCATCTCAACGTATGCATAAAGCTTGCCACAAAGAACCGGCAAAAGTAATGATTATGCATGAAACATTTGAATTGTTTATTATTAAACTAGTGTTTTCTGTCAGTGTCAGCAACAGATAAAGTTGATGCTTACTCGCGATCTTCGCAGTGAACGCGCATAGAGAAACGCATACTTTGAATTAGCCTATACGCAGAGAGTTGCCAATTTATTTTAGTTTTTAATTGTTTTGTTTAAAAGTAGACATTTAAAGCTTTCTGTAGCCTGTTCACAGGCCTGTGTGAGGCAAGCGTCGCGGTGTTTCGGTTCATATATGAGACGCGCTCCGGTTCACCTGCGCGCCTCTGTGTCCTGATTATATTGTCTGATATTTACTTCTAATGTATTAATCCAGTCAATTTGTCGATGAAACATTTATTAAAATGAAGATACAATTTATATGAAACGAAATTTACAAGCTTTCTACAAAACAAAACTTAATAAGTGGTCAAAATCATGTCTGACACACTCCAAATATTTTCCGATATTGGGCAGCTTTTGAATTTTGATCCTATCTTACTCATCTCATGCGGTTCCCTTTTCATAGCCTACTCAACATAGATGAAATAATAAAAATAAGTAATGTAATATTATTAAACACAAATGTGAAACGTAGCCTATGTTTATTTTGTTTTTTGTTTGTTTTTACTTATATTTAAGCGTCATGCTGCTCCGCTTTGCTCACATGTTATGTAGCCTGTGTGTGTGTGTGCATGTGCTGGAGGGGTGCCCATCCCTTTTTTGAATATCGTTATCATTATTGATCATTTTTAATAATTCGTTTTTTTTTTCATGCATATGTTGAAATTGGTAGTATTTGTTTGAGGTTTGACACTTTACTAAAAATGACTATACTAAAAATGATGCAAAAAAAAAAAGGATGTATTTATAGCGTTTTGGAAAAAAATAAAATTAACTTTTAAATTATCATTAACAATATTGTTGTTTGATTTAATAATTATTGTTCAAAATGTTCAGACTGAACCAATAAAACATTTAAACAGGATAATTTGAATATTCACAAAATGTGTGGGTCTAGGTAAAAAAATGTAGTTTTCCTGAAAACTATTGAAATGGATTTATAGCGTTTTGGAAAAGAGCTCTTCATATATATATATATATATACATATATATATATACAGTCGTGCTCAGAATTAATGGGACCCCTGGTAAATATGATGAAAACTGGCTGTAAAAAATAATTCTGCATTGTTTATCCTTTTGATCTTCCATTCCAAAAATTGGCAAAATTCTAACCTTTCATTGAAGCAAAAGAATTGAAAGTGGGGGTAAATCACACTATGAAATAAATGTTTTTCTGCAAAACACTCTGGCCATAATTGTTGGTACCCCTAGAATTTTTTATGAGAAAAATATCTCTGAAGTACATTCCCATTAATATTTAATTTTTTAAGCAAATCAGGGTGACTAGGAACATGAAATTGTCTAGCTGACTTCTTGTTTCAAGGAGTTTAAATATGAGGAAGCACAAAGGTCAAATTCCCTGAATCATCCATCACAATGAATAAATCCAAAGAACATGGTTCTGATGTGCATCAAAAGATTGTTGAGCTTCACAAAATAGAAAGTGGATGTAAGAAAAAAAGCTAAAGAATTGAAAATCCCCATTTTGACCATCAGGGCAATAATTAAGAAGTTATAATCAACTAAAGATGTTATGATTCTGCCAGGAAAGGACGTGTGTCTATTTTGCCTTAATGGACGGTGAGGATGAAAGTTTGAGTGTCCAAAGACTCTTCAAGGATCACAGATGGAGAATTGCAGAGATTAGTTGAGTCTTGAGGTCAGAAAACCTAAAAAAAAACCAATATCAGACAACCCCTACATCCCCACATGTTGTTTGAGAGGGTTTCAAGAAAAATGCTCCTCGCTCCTCCAAAAACAAACTCCAGCATATTCAGTTGTCAGACACGACTGGATCTTTAAACGGCACAGGGTTCTGTGGTCAGATGAAACAAAAAAAGGGGCTTTTTGGCAGCAAACCCAGCAGATGTGTTTGGTGCAAACAGGGATGAAGAGTACCCCATGCCTACGGTTAAATATACAGCTGGATCTTGTATGTTGTGGGCCTATTTATTTGCTGGAGGTCTTGGACATCTTGTTCAGATACATGGCATTATGGATTCTATCAAATACAAAAAGATAAAAAAAATCAAAACCTGATGCCTTTTGCTAGAAAACGTATAATGGGCCGTGGTTGGATCTTCCATCAGGACAACGATCCAAAACAAAAATCAACACAAAAATTAGTTACGGAGCACAAAATTAAGCTTCTGCCATCTGTTATCTTGGCAAACGTTTACAGATCTGAGGTTGCAAAAAGTTTTTAATAACAGGGTGCCAACAATTATGGAGTGTTTTGGAGAAAAACATTTATTTCATAGTGTGATTTACCCCCATTTTCAATTCTTTTGCTTCAATGAAAGGTTAGAATTTTGCCATTTTTTTGAATGGAAGATCAAAAGGATAAACAATGCAGATTTATTTTTTACAGCCAGTTTTCATCATATTTACCAGGGGTCCCATTAATTCTAAGCACGACTGTATATATATATATATATATACACACACAGCACCCGAAACTGAATACTTCCATACTCTAGTATACGAAAACCACCCAGTGCGCAAAAAGTACCTTTCTGAAGTGAGCATCCAATATACAGTGGGAATACTTATTTTCCACCATAATTTACAAATAAATTCTTTAAAAATCCTTCAATGTGATTTCCTGGATTTTTTTCCTCATTTTGTCTCTCATAGTTGAAGCATACCTTTGATGAAAATTACAGACCTCTCTCATTATTCTAAGTTGGAGAACTTGCACAATCAGTGGCTGACTAAATACTTTTTGGCCCCACTGTACACTTTACAATCCCATGAGGCAACGGGAGAGGATTTGTGATTGGAAGTGCTGCAAAGCAACTGACGCTGTAAGTCACATGATAATGACAACATTTGAATTTCATACATATTACACACATTCATACTATTTAGAACATACTTTTTTAACGGTCGCCAATTCAAATGTATGCAATTTTGGATGCACCGATAGTATTTTTGTATATGTATATACCTCAATGATATAGGAAAATTACCTTTAGTATTTGGACTACGTAATAGCCCTAAAGGGACATGGTGAAGGAAAAAAATATGAGATGGGACGAAAAATTACTTGTGAATGCATTTGCGTTCTCTCTGAGTTCACTGGCCGCACCACAAAGGTTTTGCAAGCGAACGGAAAAGATCTACATTTTCTTCATCACCACATCCATTTAGAGGCTCTGTAATACACTGAACTTCTGCTGAAAAACAGGCTGGTAAAAATAGTTGAATATAAATTTAAAAATATGAAAATATTAATGATATCAATATATTAACGTGGGTGTGTATGTATGTATATATATATATATATATATATATATATTAGGGCTGTGCAAAAATTAATTGCGATTAATCGCATCCAAAATAAAAGTCTGTGTTTACATAATATATTTGTGTGTGCTGTATAGAATTATTTTGTATATATAAATACCTATGCATGCATGTAATATATATTTAAGAATTATTTGCGCTTAAATTCTGTATATATATATATATATATAAATACATAATTTATATTATATAAATATTTTATATATGAATAACACATTTTCTGAAATATATACATGCATGTGTGTGTATTTATATATACAAAATAATTCTATACAGCACACACAAATATTTTGGATGCGATTAATCGCAATTAATTTTTGCACAGCCCTAATATATATTCTTCTTTTTGAATTTCTGAAGCAATTGCTGAATTGCTAAATTTTTCAGCATCATTACTCCAGTCTTCAGTGTCACATGACCCTTCAGAAATCATTCTAATGCTGATATGCTCTGATTATATATATCAAAGCAAATCAGCATTTTAGAATGATTTCTGAAGGATCATGTGACACTGAAGACTGGAGTAATGATGCTGAAAATTCAGCTTTTATCAGGAATAAATTACATTTAAAAAAAGGAAACAACCTTTGTAATATATATATATATATATATATATATATATATATGTGTTACCTATATATATATGTTTTAACTGTATTTTTCAAAAATAGAAATAAAAATATTACCGACCCCAAACCTTTAATCGGTAGTGTCTGTTGTACACACTCATTGCTAAAATGTGCAAAAACACATTTTTTTTTTCTTTAAATGCTAAAAATCTAGAGAGCAGGGTGACGGATACAGTGCAGATAAGCATATATAATACATTTGCCATTAGACATACAAAAACAGCTCAAATTAAACATCAACCAACAGCATAAACAGTAGACACAACCCACGCAGGAGCATAACTTCACATTTCAGGAACAGTTGAACATTTATGGACATAACATACCTTCACAAACTGTACGTCAGTGATGGCCCGCACATTAAAATCAGGGACGTACTGTTGCACGGGGCTGTTATTGAGCTGACTGTTACTGCCACCGATGGACACACAATCCACTCTCTCCGTGCAGCTCAGAGACGCAGAGCGGTTCAAACCGCTCATGTGAGACGGCGAGCGAAACTCTGGAATGCACATGAAACCCATCAGTTCATGTTGTGGCACGTCTGCTTACACACACACATACACAGATGAAACAGTTTCAGTGAGAATACACACCAACACAAATGTGGAAAGACTTAAAACAACAACAGTGAGATGATTTTATCGATGTGAGGGAAAGCACAACAACTGACAAGGAGCAACAAAGAAACTCATATGACACTTGAAATGAATGGAAAGACTATTGCAAATGATTGGATGGTCATTCAGGCTTGTGTGTATGATGAGCAGCATTAGTTTAGTTATACTGGAGAAGAATAGATTATACTATTCCGAAGTGTAATATTAGTATGTGATTATAAAGAGAAGAGGATCATAATCTCGATGACCTACACTGTCAAAACAAAAGCATGTGGGATGAGCACTAGATGTTCTGACTGTAATAATATGAATACACTAGCGCCATCTAGAGGTGTTATGAACTACCTTCAGCAGTCACCGCAGGGTTTGGTTTGACTGCGACAAATTACAGACAATACATGAATGCTGAATGATGTGGACAAAAGCACACACACATTTCACTTGATCCCATTGATTTAGAAGTGCATGGTTACTAATAAAAAGCATGGGAGAACTATGGGCTATGGCAAGCCGTTTTGACTTATTCATTCGCAGGATATGAATTCTTGATATCAACAATGCTATTTTCACTAGTTAAAATACTAATTCTTGATATCAGGAATAAGATTTCAACAAGTAAAACTTTCACTCTTGATATCTGTAATTGTAACTGGGCTGCCATTCAAATTCAGTTATTGATATCAATAATTGATTTCTTAACAGTTCAAATTCCAATTTCACATATCAGAAATACAACTCTTACTTGTAAAATTCATTATTTTTTATATCAATAACTAGGTGGTTCCCAGTGCAAATGTCTTTTGTTGAAATCAACAATTTAATTGCTACTAAAAGTGCTTTTTAAAGGGATAGCTAAAATATTTTTTAATATGTTTTATCTTACCTCAAGGGCATCCAAGATGTAGGTGTCTTTGTTTCCACAGAAGTTTTAATTTTGATATTTTTAGGTCAAACCGTTCTTGTCTGTTAGTCATATAATGGAGGTCTATGGTCACCACCTCAAAGAGTATGCTCAGAGAAGTCCAAATTAAACATGATTTAATGACTCGTAAGAGTCACTCGTAATGACTCTTAAGACAAGAAACTAGCGGTTTGTGTGAGAGAACGAACAATATTTAGTAGATTTAAACTATTCTTCACTTTTGATATCACTTCTTCACTTTCGCTTTCGATCACTTGGACGTGGCTGTGGTTACAAGAGGTAAAAACGATATAAATACTGTTGGTTTTCTCACTCAAACCGCTCATTTCATGTCTTAGGCCATCAATGTGTACTTACATTTACGAGTCATTAAATCATGTTTAATTTGGACTTCTCTGTGCATGCTCTTTGAGGTGGTGACCATAGACCTGCATTATATGACTGACAGACAAGAACGGTTTGACCTAAAAATATCAAAATAGAAACTATCTTGGATGCCCCTGAGGTAAGCTAAAACATCCCAAAATTAAATTTCAAAGTGAACTATAATATCAATAACTCGATTGTCACTAGCGACAATGTTAATTTCTGACATCATGAATGTGATTGCTAGTAACAACGCCATTTTAGAAATCTGAAATGACTCTAATTATATAAAAGCTAATTATTGATCCCAGAAACACATTTTCAAATACCAGAAATAACATATGAAGCATGATGAAATGCATTTATATCAAGAAGTAACATTTCATAGAGACAATCAAGTTATTGATATCAGGAATTTATATTTTTACTATAGTACCTACGTAATTATTTATATCAAAAATTTAGATTTTTTCTAGTAAGAATTGTATTTCTGATATGTGAAATTACAATTACAAGTTGAAAATGAATTCCTGATACCAAGAATTTGTATTTCTGTAAGTGATTGTCACTGTTGATAACAAGAAATAACATTTTTACTAGTGGAAATGTAATTCCTGATATCTAGAATTTGCATTTTAACTAGTGAATAATTGAATACTGAATATTGGCTATTGAATAAATAGAAGTCAGAATTGCTTGCCGTAGTTAACATTGGTTGGAAGCGCTATATTGAGCGACGCGATGTGATCAACTACAACTCTCCTGTTATAATCCATGAAATCACACACACTGCAAAACATGCAAAGTTAGTTGATAATAACGGAATCGTTCTAGTGTTTCCGTATCGTGTCGCTCACATGCTCTCGTCTAGTTGTTAGGTCAGTAACTGCAACCAAAGAGAACACGATTAAAATTCATAACCGAACCAATCATCACAGCGATATCAGAGAATCGATGATATCGGAAGATTGCCTTAGTATTTGACTATACATTTGCACTCCAGCCAGAAGCGTCTGAGAAGGTACCGGTTGGTCAAAGTATCTTAATATTTTTATTCAGAAAATAAATAACACGCTACAAACATCACTTTACGTAATTAATATTCATAACCCGAACCACGCCTTGACGTTCTGTTCGCGAGGAGAACTGACGTAAACAATGAAAGAAAAAACTAGAATTACCAAATTATGTGTTTAATAATATATGAATTTGTTTGTTTTCACTTTCGTTTTAGTTAAAGATTTTTTGTATTTGTTGTGTGTTTGTCGTTTGTATTAGTGTTTTTAAACGTCTATTTAGTCTTTATTTTTTCTGTTTTTGTTATATTACTTTTACTGAAATGTTTAATTTATTTCAATTAACATTTTCTTGTTTTTTTAAGTTTTAGTTAATGGTAGCAAGACTTATGTACACTTAATATGTACATTACATCTAGTATAATTTACTGCATAAAGTATATTTTATCCAAACAACGACGTTCCGGTGTCATCATGACGTCATGAACCAATCTTCAGTGATCATGTCAGAAGCAGAGCATGTGTGCTGTATATTCGGATACTAAGGCAGGACTGTATTTTCAGGGTGGTGTGAATGTGGTGTTCAAATGCATGAGGTCAGGTGTGATGGACAGGAAGTGATGTGGGCAGCGGGGTGAGTGTGTTAGTGGTTAAAAAGACTGAACTCATGAGGTCAATGCCAGTACCAATATCCAGCAAGCTTTCATTTTACTAACAGTCATTTACATACGTACAGTGTATATGTCTAATGCCATGTTGAGGATCTGCTTACAGTAGACTCCTGTTATTATCCTGTTGCTAAGCTAATGAATCAAAACTAGGGCTGCGTCTGAAATCACATTCTCTTTTTAAGTAAGTCTCTTTATAGTATGAATTCAGCAAGTTTTCACACTTTTACAGTGACCCTCACATCCTGTTTGTAACCTGAAAGGACTAAAAAGTAAAAGTGGTTCATACACTATATATCAGTTCTTTTGAATGATAATAATAAATTTGTGTGAGGATTTTTTTAAAGGGATAGTTCACTTTGAAATTACTTTTTGGTATGTTTTATCTTACCTCAAGGGCATCCAAGATGTAGGCGTCTTTGTTTCCGCAGTAGTTTCAATTTTGATATTTTTAGGTCAAACCGTTCTTGTCTGTCAGTCATATAATGGAGGTCTATGGTCACCACCTCAAAGAGCATGCACAGAGAAGTCCAAATTAAACATGATTTAATGACTCGTAAATGTAAGTACACATTGATGGCCTGAGACACGAAACGAGCGGCTTGTGTGAGAAAACGAACAGTATTTATATCGTTTTTACCTCTTATAACCACAGCCACGTCCAAGTGATCTGAGGGCGCAGGTGCTTCAGTCTGTGTAAGCGCTGGAAGTGATCTCTCGCACGTGTACGTCACTCATTATTTACACAGAAATTGCGGAAGCGATACCTTTCACTGTGAAGATCTAAACATATTTAGATATACAGGAAATTGCAATGGAAAACTATTTCGATAGAAATCAAAATCTGACCGACCGTGCGAGAGATCACTTCCTGCGCTTTCCGGCGCTTGCGCAGACCAATGCGCCCGCGCCCTCAGATCACTTGGACGTGGCTGTGGTTACAGGAGATAAAAATGATATAAATACTGTTCGTCTTCTCACACAAACCGCTCGTTTCGTGTTCATGCTCTTTGAGGTGGTGACCATAGACCTCCATTATATGACTGACAGACAAGAACGGTTTGTATACTAAACCTAAAAATATCAAAATTGAAAATACTGCGGAAACAAAGACACCTACATCTTGGATGCCCTTGAGGTAAGATAAAACATACCAACAATTAATTTCAAAGTGAACTATCCCAAATAAAATAATAAAATAAAATAAGCTGGACACCGGTTCATAGCATGATAAAAGGTTATTTATTTTTAATTTTAAGCTAGTTCCTGTCCCGCACCACCCCCATGTTAGCTCCCCTTCATTCCTGAGTTAGCATGCAGGGGATTTTACCTGGGAAACGCGAGAACAGAGAAAACCTCTTAAGTGAAAGGCGGCGCGGACGAGGCGACACCACGGCAGGAGAGAGAGGGGGGGTGACAGCTGAGCGGGGGGGGGAGCCAGAGCAGAGGAGAGACAGAGAAGCTCTTTAAACACGGCACACATTAACATCCTGTGGACAGTTGCTGAAGCATCCCTCATTATAATGCACTATGGGAACATTGCATTTTCCTTAAAGGGTTAGTTCACCCAAAAATGAAAATTCTGTCAGTATTTACTCACCCTCATGTTGTTCCAAACCTCTATGTGTTTATTTGGAAGAATGTTTTGGAAGAATGTTTTACTCAAACAGATCTCATTCCCCATTGACTACCATAGTAGGAAAAAATACATACTATAGTAGTCAATGGGGAATGAAATCTGTTTGATCAAAACGTTCTTCCAAATATCTTCCTTTGTGTTCAGCAGAATAAATAAACACATAGAGGTTTGGAACAACATGAGGGTGAGTAAATACTGACAGAATTTTCATTTTTGGGTGAACTAAGCCTTTAAAGGCGTTCAGTGGAACTCAAATGAAGATATTTTGCAGAATGTCCAAGTGGTACAAGGAAAGGACTTTATTATAAAATGTAATTTATTCCTGTGATCAAAGCTGAATTTTCAGCATCATAACATACATTGGAAATTAATAATTGTATGGAGCAAGGACATTAAATGACAGTAAAGACCTTTACAGTGTTACATAATGTTATTTAAAATCGATTTAAAATCAATGCTGTTCTTTTGAACTTTATATTCATCAAATAATCCTGAAAATATTACATAGATGTACCAGAAATTTGAATAATCCTTGATTATTAGATACAATCACCAACATCCAGTGAACAATTGTAATTCAAATGCTCTGGACAAATGCGTATAGTAATTAGTTACTGTAAACCAATATTTCAATGAGCTGTGTAGATGAAAATATTGTGCATTCATATACTGTAGTTTAACAGTTTTCATCAATGTTAAAACTAAGCCTACGCCACTGACATTCATTTAGCAGATGCCAAAGCAAATGTATGAGCATTTAAGTTTACATTTATCCATTATGTGTGTTCCCTGGGAATCAATGGTTTATGACTAGCACTATGATTTAATAACTAATCCGACTCCAGTAAATTAAAAATAAAATAATTTCGTTTTTTATTTGATTGTATAGTTTTATATAGTTTATATAGTGTAATATAGTTTCAACATATTACAAAACAATCATTTGTTCTGATCCTGTCTGTTGAACGTGACAATTAGAGATTAGAAAATATGGTTGTCAATACAAAATACAGTCTCTGAACAAACGCTCTTGTTGTATGTTCAATGGGGTTCTTGACTCAATTTTGAAGTGATAAAGTATGTTGGTTATGAGCTGTTTCATTCACAAAATCCCATTGAAATAAAAACTGAATAAAATGATCACATGATGGGAAACCATATAGAACTTTTTTTTTCTAAATGTGTAGCAAGCTAGACTATAAAGATTTTTTTACTTATTTTTTTAATGTGAACTGCCTTCTGTTTCTTGTTAATTTGGAAATTCCATATAACACAGAGACTAACAAATCCACAAAATCTCCAAATGTTAAGGTCAATCTTGCAATTTCGAGTTATCGGGCCAATTCTAAGGGAAAAAACCTTTTTTCCTCTTAGAATAGTTTATATCTCACAATTCTGACATTACAACACGCAAATTTGACTTTACATCATTCATTTCTGACTTTATAACACGCAATTGTGACTCAATCAATTTTGGCTTTATATCTCGCAATTCTGACTTGAAACACGCAATTGCGATTTCATATCACGCAATTCTGACTTTTATCTTACAATTCTGAGAAATAAAGTCTGAATTGTGAGATAAAAAGTCACAAACTTTTTTATTTTTCATTCTGCGGCGGAAACAAGCTTCCATACCTTTCGTACTTGATGAAAATATAACAAAACCTTGACCTGTTTGTAATGCCAGAAAAAGTTGAATAGAAGTAAAATTACTAATGCAAATGTTGTTTAGTGTAAATTCTGTAAGATCACTGTTTTTCTCTTAAAATGCAGATCACTTCAAATTGGAGGACTGTGACACTAATACGGATTAAAAACTATGGGAATGCACATACAGAAACCAACAGATGATGTACTGTACTAGGGCCCTGTTTACATGTGGAAGCATTTTCATCACCTCAATCAAAGTGGATGACTCTAAATACAGGTGTAAACGGGTCTAAATGTTTCCGGCTTGTCCACATGTGGCCACTTCCAGAGGTAGTCAAAAACACGTTCAACCGGATTGATTTGGTAGTGTAAACGCTCATGTGGTCGAATGTGTTCAAAGAGCCACAAAAGACCACCTCTCCGTCTACTGACCTGCGTAAACATTATGACAATCCTATGATAAACATTAGGATTTAACGGTTTGAAGACAAATGGTGCACTAAGCACAGTGTTCTCTCAACATTTACCAGCTTATTTTGTCGTTTATAGAAAGATCTGAAAAAGATATATACAATACATATGTATCTACATTCATAGACAACAACTAGAGGTCCACCCTTAGTGAAAAAAAAAAAAAAAAAAAAGCTTAGTGCACTTTTTGCACGGTTCCGGTATTTTTTCAAAAACACAACCGGTTCTGGAAAAGAACCGGTTCTCGATTCCCAACCCTAGTTGCAGTTCACCCAGGACTGGACTTTATTCTGTTATGTGGTTTATTTTGATAGGTGAACTGTCTTTGTAGTGTTAAGAGAAGGACAGCTAAACAGGATATTTTTTTTGACCCTCTGCTCCGATTGCGTTTTCTTAAAGAGAAACACAGTCTTTTCAGCTGAACATTATAAATCGCTATTTTTCTGCACTAAACTAGAGAATTTTCCCAAAATATATTCAGAGATGATAAACAAGATGTTATAGAATAATAATTTGATAAAAAAAAAAAACAAATTGACAAAAAACTGACATTCAATCTACATTTTAGACCTTACTGAAAACGTACCAGTGCGACGTCCGACGTGTTTTCCCAGATCGCATCACATACGTATAATATATAATAAAATACTTGGACACAAAAATATGCATGTCATCATGTCATTGATCCATGAACAGTAAAAATATAATATTTTATGCTTTCTTCTTTTGCCACAGTGTCTGAGACTCCTGCTGCCTCTCAGAACCAACTGCCTCTGAGAACCACACTGCCTCTGAGAATGGCACTCAACGACACTGCCTCTCAGAAATGCACGGCCTCCAAGAATCATACTGCCTCTCAAAACCACCACACTGGCTCCAAGGAATATTACTGACTCTCAGAACCAACTGCCTCTGAGAACCACACTGCCTCTGAGAACCACAGTGCCTCTGAGAACCACACTGCCTCTGGGAACCACAGTGCCTCCAAGAAGACTGCCTCTCAGAACCACACTGCCTCCAAAACCCATAACCACACTGCCTCCAATAACTGTACTGCCTCTCAAAACCACCACACTGGCTCCAACAAATATTACTGCCTCTCAGAACCAACTGCCTCTCAGAACCACACTGCCTCTCAGAACCACACTGCCTCCAAAACCCATAACCACACTGCCTCTCTGGGAGCCTCTCTGGGAACGACACTGCCTCTCTGGGAACCACACTGCCTCTCTGGGAACGACACTGCCTCTCTGGGAACGACACTGCCTCTCTGGGAACCACACTGCCTCTCTGGGAACCACACTGCCTCTCTGGGAACGACACTGCCTCTCTCTGGGAACGACACTGCCTCCCTGGGAACGACACTGCCTCCCTGGGAACGACACTGCCTCCCTGGGAACGACACTGCCTCCCTGGGAACGACACTGCCTCTCTCTGGGAACGACACTGCCTCTCTCTGGGAACGACACTGCCTCCCTGGGAACGACACTGCCTCCCTGGGAACGACACTGCCTCCCTGGGAACGACACTGCCTCTCTGGGAACGACACTGCCTCCCTGGGAACGACACTGCCTCTCTCTGGGAACGACACTGCCTCTCTGGGAACGACACTGCCTCTCTCTGGGAACGACACTGCCTCTCTCTGGGAACGACACTGCCTCTCTGGGAACGACACTGCCTCTCTCTGGGAACGACACTGCCTCTCTGGGAACGACACTGCCTCCCTGGGAACGACACTGCCTCTCTCTGGGAACGACACTGCCTCTCTCTGGGAACGACACTGCCTCTCTCTGGGAACGACACTGCCTCCCTGGGAACGACACTGCCTCTCTCTGGGAACGACACTGCCTCTCTCTGGGAACGACACTGCCTCTCTCTGGGAACGACACTGCCTCTCTCTGGGAACGACACTGCCTCTCTGGGAACCACACTGCCTCTCTGGGAACGACACTGCCTCTCTCTGGGAACGACACTGCCTCTCTCTGGGAACGACACTGCCTCTCTCTGGGAACGACACTGCCTCTCTCTGGGAACGACACTGCCTCTCTCTGGGAACGACACTGCCTCTCTCTGGGAACGACACTGCCTCCAATAACTGTACTGGCTCTCAAAACCACCACACTGGCTCCAACAAATATTACTGCCTCTCAGAACCAACTGCCTCTGAGAACCACACTGCCTCTCAGAACCACACTGCCTCCAAAACCCATAACCACACTGCCTCTCTGGGAGCCTCTCTGGGAACGACACTGCCTCTCTGGGAACCACACTGCCTCTCTGGGAACGACACTGCCTCTCTGGGAACGACACTGCCACTCTGGGAACCACACTGCCTCTCTGGGAACGACACTGCCTCTCTGGGAACGACACTGCCTCTCTGGGAACCACACTGCCTCTCTGGGAACCACACTGCCTCTCTGGGAACGACACTGCCTCTCTCTGGGAACGACACTGCCTCCCTGGGAACGACACTGCCTCCCTGGGAACGACACTGCCTACCTGGGAACGACACTGCCTCCCTGGGAACGACACTGCCTCTCTCTGGGAACGACACTGCCTCTCTCTGGGAACGACACTGCCTCCCTGGGAACGACACTGCCTCCCTGGGAACGACACTGCGAACGACACTGCCTCCCTGGGAACGACACTGCCTCTCT